ACATAAAAGATCATACATATAGAAAATGAAAGATAAGCACCATACAAAAGAAATAACATAAAATAAAACTTACAACAAATATAATTGCTTAATAATCCGATAAATCATTTTCGGATCCATTAAAATTATTAAAATAATCCGATAAAATATTATTAAATTCTTACATAACATGATAATAGAAGATGATTGTGATCTCGAGATGCCAATTAAAGTTGAAAGAGAAGTCATGTCAAGGAAAATTGAAATTGAAGAAAATAATAATGTGAGCTTCCAAAAGTTTCTTTCCCATTTCAGAGAAATCAAAGATAAAGAAGCTCAATTTTTTACTTCGAAATGCATTAGTTGATCATTTGTAGGAAAATTATTATAATTCTCATGAATAATTTAGAATTGATATATTATTGTGTTTAAGCTATATAATGTAATTTTTAATGTATTAAATGTATTCTTTTAAAACCTTGTTGAGTAGTTTTATTTATATAATATAAATTTAATTGTGGTTAATATTGTATTTAATAGAAATTCTATAAATTTAAAATGGACTGTTTTGTAAATAGTATAAATGAAAGGTGATATTCCTAATTTTGAAATAAATATAATATTAAAAATATTCTTTTGGAGTAGAAAATGGAGTAATACATTGGAGTAAAACTCAACTGCATTTTGGAGTTACTCCATTTTAGAGTAGAAAATAGAGTAATACATTGGAGATGCTCTTAGGCCTTTACCATACCTTCTTTGTTGGCATGTGGTCTAATAAAGTCATTAAAAGATGGGAGAAGGGTCAAAATAGCCTCTTATCATTATTTTCAAAATGAGAGAAAGTTTGTGAAAAAGAAAAGAAAAAGTAAGGTAAAGAGATAGAAGAAAAATACAAAAGCGAGTTGCTTTATAATAAATAATAATTTGCATGGGACTCTTGGAAAAATTCTATGACTTTTAGTGCTTACCTTAATTACCTTTTCTAATTTTGTAAAGAACATAAATGGGAATGGTACAAATTATAATGTAAGAAAAAGAGTCCATGTTAAGATGTTCACAATAGTGGGAAGCATTGTATACAAAAAATGGACCCCAAAGCATTACCACATTCACGTTGTCTTGTAGTTGTCTCTGTTGTGTACATTGTATATCTCCAAATGCTAAATCAATAGTTCTTTTGTAATAAATATAACATTGAAAACTGTCGAGATAGTTATAGCACATCGCTTTATGCTCTAGAATTGTCATATCATATGCATTTAAATTTTACCAAGTTCAATTGATTCGAAATGAAGAAATGTAAAATCAACAGTGGTAGATTCATTGACAATGCTGATTTTGATGTATGACCGTTGTTGTGTGTTAGACGTGACCATTCAAAGAAAAAGTTGGTTTTTTTTTGTAAGCTCGACAAGCAATGTGAATACTACATACACGTTATATATGAATTCCATCAATGTGGTAAGACTGATGCGAGAGAAAACCTAATTTTTAGGTTGATTGAAAGACGAGTGGACATTTGTTTGGTTTGTTTACTTTTTTCCTACTTTTTGCGTCCATCTTTTACCTTTTCAAATTTTGTATGAGTATTATTAGAAACTATCGAGTAGATTAGCTGGATGTCAAGTAACTGAATGTTTTTATTTTGGTCAAGACTCAGGAGTACCTTTTATTCAGACCGAAACTTAAAACAAGTTCTAATAAGCCATGTAAGAAGTCAGGATGATATGCCATCGTTTGGAACCTATGCGATTTTTATAGCACATGGGGAATGTTGAAATTTATTAATGGAATTTTTTTTAAAAAAAATTGCATAAATTTCGAGAGTTTGGGTTTTCATTTGTCGAGAGTGTTGGCTGTAGGGTTAAACGGGACCATTTTCATAGATGATCGTATTCAAAACTAGGAGCAGAGGACCACGCACCTTTATTTTTCTTACCTAACTTATAGATTTGAACAATTAAATGGAAATTTATATCCCCAATTTATTGATTCAATAAAACCTTTCAATCAATTAGCGCATATACAAAAATAATGGGAAATTTCATATGATGGCCAAGACAAGGATCGTTGATCAGGACGTGAAGCTCCACTGCTCTGTATATATGGACACAAACAGATATCAGATAACATGTTACAAAACTTATGATCCTATTGAATGGTAATGCATGGTTTCTATTATATATATAAACGTTTAGTCATTTGATTCATGAGTGACAAGTGACAACAACATGTGGGATTCAAATTTCAAAGTCTTGAACTACTGAACATGACGTCTATACTTAATATATCTAGAAGAACTACTGCAACTACAATACTGTCTCCAGTTTCTTATCTGACGGTATATATGCATATTTGTACTTATTTCATTAAAAAAACTGGATTAGCCTTTATTTTGTTTTCTTGAAATACTCGGTTTTGGAGAAACAATCATATAGTATTTTGCTAAGGGGTACTTTTGTTGCAGCTATTTCTAGCCTAGTAATCTTGTTTTGTCTTCAACTATTTCATGTAATGCTCTGTTTCAGAAAAGAAACACAAAGATGCTGTCAGTCCCTTTTGATGTCATGTTATGAACTAACAAAGATTTTCATTATTAGGTTTGTGTTCTTCTGGTCCAGTTTAGTGGATAGTTAGTTTAATGCTACTGTATTTTGAGAGTGGCTTGGATGCAAAAAAACTGTAAAGCCATAAGCGAAGCCACCTCTTTATTTTATATGTTTTCAAAAAGTCGAAACTACATTGCTGGTTTTTGTTTCATTTTGTGTTTAAATGCTCATTTTCTAATTCAAGATAGTGTTTCAACAGTGGGAGAAAGCCGAAAATGAAGTGGTTGAACTGAAGCAGGAGAGCAAAAGAGGAGCAGAATAAAGAAGCGATGTCTGAGATAACCAAAGGGGTTTTAGAAACTCGGTCCCAAGACTAGCCTCAAACTACTCATAACATTAAAAGAGAACATAGTTCAAAAAGGAAAAATTTGACAAAAAAGCAAAAGAGGCAAAAAGCCATTATTGTTTAGCAGAGTGCATGTAAAAACTCTAACTAATAGACACAGACACCTTCTCTCTCACTCCACTGTGTATTATCCTCAAAACTACCAAACTAGGCTAGCAGCTAAGAGACAGAACACACTTCTGCTTTTCAGAGCTCGTCCTTAGCGGCCTCAGTTGTCGTTTCCTCCTTCTTAGGCTCTCCAGCTGTGTCCTTGTTCTTGTCGATGAAGCTTATGATGTCTTCCTTTGTCCTGTCTCCTTCGTAAAGCACAATGTTTCCGCTCGCTGATCTCAAGTAAATGGTCGGGAAGCCCTTCACATCGAAGGTATCATTTGGGAAGTCGTTTGCGGTTGCGTCCTGTATAAAGCCAAAGTGTAAGAATAAATCCGCAGATGATCAACCAACAAACTCTACATGTGAAAAAAAAGGAAAAAAAAAAAATGACTTACGAGCTTAGCAATGACAACACTTGGGTCGCTTTGGTATGACACAGCGACTTCGTCCAAGATTGGAACTAGCTTCTGGCAGTGTCCACACCATGGAGCATAGAATTCAAGCAACACTACAAGAAGAGAAGAGGAAACAAAACTGATTTATAAGTTTCTCTTTGCTACAAGTAAACAGGTTTGTGATTTACTGTAATAATGCAATGTAATGTAACTCACCGTTCTTTCCGGAGTTGAAGACCATCTCGTCAAGGCTCTCACCAACAACAACCTTCACAGGCTCGTTGTTTTCGGCTGGGATAGGTTGAGATTTTTTGTGTGGGGAAACTTTTCCATCCTTGAAGTCGTTGAGCCACGATTCAATCTGGTCAACCTCCAAGTTTGTTTTCAGATATTTCTTGTCGTCAGCAGTCTGGATGATGATGAGAGGAACTTGGCTCTCTTCGAGTCCAAAGTACTGTTATAGATTCAGAAAAGAACAGAAATCTGCTTAGCATTTTGTAACAAACACGGAACGAAGCGACAAGGAGATAGATATCGAGGTAAGACGAACCTGGAATGCGCCTTGGCTGTTCTCAGCATCACCGAGAAGGAAGCTAAGACCCTGTCCCTTGTTGGATGCAGCAATTTCGCGGTACTTTGATTTAAGAGTTTCAGCTCCTTCTCCAGTGAAGTTAATGAACAACATTGCCTGAAACACAAAATATTACCCACCATCAAAATCACTACAAGGTTGGAAATTAATGGATCAATGAGGAACCTTAGTAATAAGATTCAAAAACTAAACTACAAACGCTACTATCCAGACTCAGCTAATATGGCACGCTATCACAACTAACTTCTTCGCATTAGCTCATTTCAGTAAACATATAAATCAAATTATACTTATCAACTAAAAATACAAGGCCTAATATGAATCCATCTTTGTAGTTTAACATGAACTGATTACAGCGTGATGGTATTTAAAACTATCAATTACCT